TCCCAACCCTCGTCGTCAAACTCGTCCTCGACGCGGTATGGCGCCTGTCCTATGGCCTGGTAGTATTCCGTCAACTGATGGCCGTATATCAGAGGTCGTCCGGCGTCCTCACTCCACCAGCTCCCCCAGTCGTCTGAGAAGAGCCGCCCGATGCAAGTCACGTACTCGGGGCCGGCTCGGAGCTCACGGTCTAGCCAATCCCAAACGCACGAAGGTTGGGGCCACTCGTCGTCTATCGAGCGGATCAGCTCTATAAGCTGAACCCTCTCGTCTCCCCAACGAGGCCCACCGGTCGCAAGCGAATAATAGATGTAGTCTAGGTCGGCAGGCCTTCTCGCCAGGATCTTGAGATCCTGATAGGCCAGGTATGTCTTGACCACTCCACCAATACCTCCAAAGACACTCTCTACTACGAACGTCGAAACTATCGCCCGTAGGCTCCTAACGCTGTACGGGAAAAAGTCGTCCCGTGCTACCACCAGCTCGCCCTTGATATCAAGAGGAGGGCGTCCATGAAATAGGGTCAACGGGTTGCTCGCGTCCTCCGCTCGGAAAGCAGCTACCTTTTCCCCTAGGCAGCGTAGCGCCCCGCTAACTGCGTCACTAGTCCCTGTCATCTCGAGGTCCACCATGGCCTCCTTGACCGCACCCAGTCCCAAATACAAGTAGGCTCTCACTACGCCCACTCCTTGCCCCGGCCGGTGCTTTCTGTACGTCCAAAGCCACACGTCCTCGGACARGATTATGGACCTCCACGCAAACTGGCCGTCAGCGTGTCGAATGCTGCATCCGGGGATCGTGAGCTCGACCAGATCCCCCTCTATGAGTTCAGGGGGCTCTAAGTCCCATTCAATGGTAGCCCCATAGACCTCTACTTGCACCCGGGGCCACATTCAACTGGCGGCTAAAGAGAACGCAGCAAGCGGAAGGTGTAGATTAATAACTGAAAATTCGCGTCGCTTGCCTCACGCCTTCGAGAACAAGCTAGTAGGATCACCTGAAACCAGGTTACCGCAACGTCCCTTCCCTTCTCCTTCTAGGGAATTCTTTTGTAATTTTCAATTATAAATTATAGAAAATGTATTTACCTAAGACAAATTTTCTTTCTTAGTTTATATATATTAAGGATTAATACTTACATAAGCCCGCCGAGTTTGACGCTTTTTTAGGGGTAGAAATAAAATTTTGGGGATTTTACTAAAATTTCGNTCAGCTCTACGCTCGTGGATTAAATCCCTAGCTCGTTGTCTGCACTCACTCGCTGTCAAGTCCTCGTCTACGTACGCTCGGAGAAGTACTGTCACAATGTATCCTGTGCTCACCAGTTGCTCTTCTACACGCATCACCGTGGTCGTCCTTCCCGGCATTCCCTAAGCTGCGACCTCGAAGAGAAATCTCGCATCCTCTAGCCCCGCGTAATCGATCTCTGCCCGTCTCCTGCAGTACCTAATCAGATCGATAGGCCTCAGACAGTCCACCCAGCTCGTAACATCTATGATGTCGTCAAGCGTCTCTCTACTGGGTGGCCCCCACCTCACACAAATGGCGTAGTATACTTCCTTGAAGCGGGGCGCTAGGCCCTCCCCTAGCGCGTAAAGTGTGTGATCCACTGCTCTCCTCAAACGATCCACGCTGTCATAGGTCTGCCCTATCACGAAGGTAGGAACTCCGAATCGCCAATCCTTTCTCGGGTTGAGGGTCGGATGTGGTGGACCGTATACCAAGCAGCTCCTACTCGTCCTCGCTCTAGCGAGTCTCGCCAATTGCTGATTAACGATCACTCTGCCCAACAACTCACCTCTCCACCAACTCCTGCTCGCCACTGCGAGCGTTAGCCCTATCTCTAAATCGTGTGTTCTATCCGCTATTAGATGTCCGGCCCCTTCTAGATCATGAGTCCTCTCGGGTCGTTCGTCTCGTAGTATCACTGTCCATAGGAAGAGCCCCTCTGCGAGCCACGTTCCCAAGTATCGTATCGGTACTCGCCCTGCCTCTTCTAACGCCACAGGAAGTGGTATGTCGTATCCAACCACCGTCTCTCTGGGCCCCACAAGCTTCCTTATACTATACGATTCAGACTCTCGTGAAAGAACATAAGCTAACCAGGCCGCTGAATCACTCCTCATTTCTTCTCCTACTCTCGGTCAACATCACTCTACTCCCTCCTATGCACCCCATCTCTCGACGTTGCAAACCCTTCTGACAACTCTCGCACTCAGGTCCAGTATGGTCAAATAGGTTCAGTAGCCAGGCTCACTCATCCGTCGCCCTGGTGCGCTCCTCTACCTCCTACGCCCGGACCGCTACTCCTATCCTGGGAAAATGGGCGTCTATAACGTCAATCTCCTCCTCGTCAACCTCACTCTCTGGGTCGACC